AAACTTCCTTGATATCTTCTTATCGAGGGTTCACGATGAGTGAGTTGATTACGAGTTGACGGAGATATATTGCACTTAAGGGGAAGCTAGCTAGCTTTGTTCTTTTCCACACACCCTGAGTTTTCCACCGTTGAATTTATATGATGTCTTCGTAAAGATACTAATGTCCGATGAGAATCCATTGAAGTTAAATGGTTTATAATGTTCGAAGTTTATAAATATTCCTGGTCAATTATCTGAAGTTTCCTATTGATAAGCGTTATAACAACCACAGTTATATCTTTCGAAGTTTATTGCACACTGATTATAGTAAACTACTAATAGACACTCTTCTTGGCGTGTAGCGTTGGTTATATATTTATAGCTGTGTGGAGGAGTTCTAGAAATTTCAGTCTTATGTAACAATACTAGTTAAAGGCTTACGTACACACATATATTGTTGATTCTTACTTTCGAGAATCTTCTACAACTTTGGAGAATAGGCGGGAGTTTCGCAATACATCTTTAACACTATAAGCTACGCATCTTTTAAAATATAAACTTAATCTAAACAAACGTTGACATAATAACAAATTCGTTACACTGGAGACAGGTACTTTTGTTAGATTAGCTTAACTTTTCCCGTCACTGGAAACGGGTACTTTTGTTAGATTAGCTTAACTTTTCCCGTCACTGGAAACGGGTACTTTTGTTAGATTAACTTAACTTTTCCCGTCATTGGCGATTGGTATTTTTTTAGATTAATTTAACTTTTCCCGTCACTGGAGATTGATACTTTTGTTAGATTAATTTAACTTTTCCCGTCACTGGAGATTAGTACTTTTGTTAGATTAATTTAACTTTACCCGTCACTGGAGACGGGTACTTTTGCTTGTCTAATATATGTAGACGCAATGGGTATATTAAAAACAAAATGCAAGTACCATTTTCTAAATAATTTCTACATAAATTTCCTAAACAAAATTAAGCTACCAGATTTGTTGAATATATAAACTTACTCCAAAGATTCAATATTAAACATTTTGGTTTTTAAGGATACGAAATGTGAGAACGTAGTCTTTTGGGAGTTAATGACTAGACCACAGAATACATTATATCAATATGATGTTCTTTTAAAATGGTAAATGTTACTTTTTTTAAAGGAACAATATTATTTTATCAACTATGCGAATGAACAGTAACCTATATATTATAGATTTGAAAATTGACACTGCTACATTTGTGAAATATAAATAAATAAAATCCTTTTCATTCCTGTAAACTTTTGTCTAAACATTGCAATTGTGAATATATTATAGTACAAACAAATAATTTTGACTGAAATTTGTATTCAGAAAGTCGTACATTTAGAATATCGTCATCTATAAAATGAAAAGATTTTCATAATTATGGATTATGTGTTTAAAAAACGCTACATTTTAGTAATTTTAATTACAATACACAACATTCTACATATACTAAGCTGACTAAGATTATACCGTTGTACAAGGTTGTTGCTTAGGGATAAAATTCATTGGTTGACTAGTTAATCACGTGGCAAATGCTCCGAGTATATCTATATTTCAAAAGTTGTCACTATTCCTGGAATGTACTGTAAGAAACAAACAATAACTTCCATTATCTACATTACTGTGATAGACAGTATGACTTAGTTGTTAAAAAGCACTATTTTCTAAAGTTGGGACTGTGATTCATATAAGGAAAGTCGTACGCTTATAATATTGCTATCCATAGAATGGTAAGATTTACATGCTTATGACTTATATGTTCAGGAAAACGTTACATTTTGGGCTATCGTACTAGAATGTGTGACTTCGTTTCGATTTTATCAACTAGATAGCAGAAATAGAAAGATGATAGGACTTGAAAATGAAAGCAGAGGTATATAGACAATGAGAGATTGAAAAAATACTAGTTTAAACAGTCGTGTTGCCTATAAAAATGATTTTCGTTTGAAAATATGGTATTGTATTTAGTTAGTGTCATTCATGGGATATATATGTACAATTTGAATGGTTTAGGCCAGGGGTCACCAAACTCCGGCCGGCCGCTGCACTGTGCCACAAATGAGCTAAAATATAATTATTTATAT